GCGCAGGGCTGGGGCGGGGCCCGGCAGCAGGCGGGCGGGCGGGCTGGCTGCCGAGGGGCCGACCCGGGCGGGGCGGGCGCCGCGCCGGCGGCGAGCGGAAAGGCGGCCGACAGTCGGGCCGCCTCCACCCCTTCCTCCTTCTGCACGTGCGGCGCTCTTCTGCCGGGACTGCGGGATCTCGCGGACCTTTCCTCCTCACAGTCGCCTCAAGGCCAACCGGCGCGGCGCCGGCTCATTGTGTCCGCCATCTTGGGACGACAGGCAGAAGCTGAGGGCGAGGAGCCTCACCGCAGCGCACGCCGGGAAAGGGGGCGGGCGGAACGGCAGCGCGAGAAGGGGCGGTGGGGCGGTGACGTCAGTGCGGCCGCCGAGGAATGGAGTGGCGGGGTGGCCCGAGGCGGCGGTTCCCTGACGGGCAGTAGGGCGCGAGGGGCGGGGATGCCCACGGCCTTCCCTTTGGTGGGCCGGAAGGCCGAGGGTGCCCGGAAGCCGTGGGCTTTTGTGCGGGATCGCAGGCCACTGGGAGCAGGTACTGCGAGGGTCGGCTACGCCACTGGAGCGGCGGCCTGGGGGTGAGTTAGTGCGCTAACCGCTGGCGGGCTTTGACTGCTAGTGCACCACAGCGCAAGCATAGTTTCAGTTTCAGGGTCTGGGGGATTTTTTGTTCGTTTTTTTGAGCTGTATTATACGATAGACTGCACAAATTTTAAGTGATTTTTTTTTTCATTTGGATATACACCCTTGTAACTACTGCCCAGAACTTTCTTTTAAGACTTCTATAAAAACTTTTTAATTGACATATAACGTAAAGTGAATAAGGTGGACTAATTTTACGTGTATAGCTCCACCTTTAAGTTTTAAGATGTATTTACAGCCTCAAAATTAATAGCATCGATTACAAAGAAATTCTTAAAAAGTTAAGTTATCTCTTATTCAACAAATTAAGTTCTCCCAATTTCCTCCTCCTTTATTCATGTATCTACATAAACTTTATAAATGCAACCATCACTTCCCCCCAGGTTAGTATTGTATATTGCACATTTTTCCAGGGTAGTAAACCAAATTGTTGGTGGTGTTCTTAATTGAGGTATAATTGATGTACAGTAAAAACTGGCCTTTTAAATGGGTAGTTTTATAAGTTTTGACACCCATGTTCAGTCGTGCAACCACCACCACGTTCAAGATGTAAAACAGCTGCATTACCCTCTGGTTTGTTTAAAAGATTTTTTGCCTTAAAAGGAAGGAAAGTTGATCCCTAACAAAGGAAAGCGGTGTCTGATCACAAAATAGGTACCGGGCAGGCACCTTGGCTTTAACTTTCTGTGCAAGAGGTCAAACTCAGTGCAGCCTATGAGAGTTCATAGATCTCTAAGTTGCATGCAGCAACTCAAAGATTAATTGCCTGAGGTCTCTAACAATGGAGACAGGCCTGTTTATTTTGCTTTGCTAAACTGCAGTGGCTAAAGAGGAAGAAAAAGGAAAAGGAAAGACTTAAACATTAAAATCACTGATATTAAGAAGATGTGAGGGGCGCCTGGGTGGCTCAGTCGGTTGAGCGTCCGACTTCGGCTCAGGTCATGATCTCACGGTTCGTGAGTTCAAGCCCCGCGTCAGGCTCTGTGCTGATGGCTCAGAGCCTGGAGCCTGTTTCAGAAACTGTGTCTCCCTCTCTCTGACCCTCCCCCATTCATGCTCTGTCTCTCTCTGTCTCAAAAATAAATAAACGTTAAAAAAAATTAAAAAAAAAAAGATGTGATATCCAGAGATCCAGATATAACCTGGACAATGGTAAAAAGAAAGCAGAAACCCTGGGATAGTTGAATCTTTCTAGAAAGAATTAAGGGACGTCCCTGGGTAAAAGGAAAGCCAGGATCCCTACACATAAAAAGAAGTTGTTCTTTGAAGGGAGAGGGCAAGATCCTGGCTAAGTCTGGGCTGCAATTGCCTTCACACAAAGAGCAGAACTTCTGGCTACAATTTGTTCTGGGATCTGGCAAAAGCCTGTCTGAGTGAAACCTGAATGGATGGCAACTTTCCAAACTGCGAAGCAATAGAAGAAAAGTCCTCTGTGCCCTGGAGCTCTCACTTCCCAGCAATTCCTCCTTTATTTCACAGGCTGGAAAGGCTGATGTAGAGTCTGCTTTGAATGGTTAAATGGCAATAAGGACAGATTTGGTGCCATGTCCTGGAACTTCCAA